CACAAACAACATTCCTGACAATTACATTCATGCACTGTGGTCCTGCCCACCTGTCCAGGAATTTTGGGGTAGAGTATGTGAGGATCTGTCAAAATGTCTGAAATGTCATATCCCAACTTCCCCCTCTCTTTGTTTACTGGGAAACCTGGACGATGTCCCGATTGAAACATCTTTGGTTCACGTGGTTCTGACTGCCATATGCATCGCTAAGAAAACTATCCTCTTGAATTGGAAAAATAGAGAAACTCTCTGCATTAACCAGTATAGAAATCTTTTGTTAGATCATATTGCACTTGATATAGCCTGTGCTTCCACTTCAGATGAATCTCTCTGGGCTCCTTTGATCGGTTCCATCACATAGCGAGGGTGGGGGGCTGTTGATGTTGTCCTGTGGGATGGTGTGGGTGGGGGGGTGTGGGGTCTGAGTTTGGAGTATCCGGATGTTCCCTGGAGGTGGGTTCACTGGGGGTGCCTGGGACTGGGGGGCCGTTGCCCCCCTCTGGAGGTGCTTGGGTTGCCTCGGGGGGTGGACTACTGGCAGTTGTGAGTGGGGCCCCTTGGGGGGCTTGGCGGCGGCCATGGGTCACTGCCTGGCGGCTGCAATGCCCCTGGGCGGGTCTAGGTGGGGGCCTGGGGGCTCGGGTTTTGGGGGTGGCCGGCCCCGTGTGGGGTTCTGGGCGGGGCCTTGGGGGTCAGGTCCTGACATGTATGCTGCCGGGAAGAAGGCAGGAACACGCAGCAGTGCCTGGCCCAGGTTCGGGGGCCTCAGGTAGACCTTGGCTCCTCTGCCGTTCCATCACAGGGGAGGGGGAGGTTCAGGAGGGGGAGGACCCAACCTTACCTGGATGTCCCATGTCTTATATATTCTGGAAGTTGTGCAAATGCAGGGATGGGCATAGATTTTCTGCTGGGGTGGGGCTGGAGTGGTGCCCTTGGACTCCGTGAGGCTCTGTAATGCTGCTGCTTTGGGCCCTGGCAGGATGGGCTGGGGTCTCCATGCCCTGGGTGGCAGTTTGACAACAGAGGTGCCTATTGGGGCCAGTAGGGGAGCTGGCTCCCTGGAGGGCTAAGCCCAGCCAGCCATTCCTCTCCATCCCCGCATATTTCTCTCCTCCGGCTCCCTCACATCATCACACAAACATACACATAGTACCTTGGGGGGTGGGCAAGTCAGGGAGTGCGGGTATGGACCCCATTTCCACATTCCTGTGGCAACCTGCCCCCCAATTTTATTTGCACCTTATACACTTCCACTGACGACATTCCACACAAACACACACTTAGGGCCTTGGGAGTGAGCACATTCAACGGCATTCGGCAGGGGGATATTTCAGCCTCCTCCCGGGAGCCGGTGCCCACTTCCAATTTTAAACTGCACTTAGACACTGATGGCTGAGGGTGTAAGTGGGGTGGTGCGGTGGCACCAGCTGGCATAGGCCGGATGATGCCCGCACTGCCCACTCACCACAGCCATGGAATACACCTCATGATCACACAACACTATATTGGAGCAGGCGGAGGGAGACTAGGGGTCTTAGCCACCTCTGTTGTTGCTAGGCCTCCTGGGGCTGGAGGCTAGGAGGGAGATCTGGCCGTCTGGTTGGGGTTTGGGGTGGTGGGTTGCTGTGCTCAGCGTTGGGCGGGGGAGCCTGCTCATCAGCACCCCAGCAGAAAGGGTCAAACTCTGGTTACTGGTGATGGCTGTACCCAGTGTGCAGCAGTACCGGGACCAGAGTGAAATGGGTGTGTATGGGGAGCATGAGTGGGTGTCCGGCGTGCATTTTTGCAAGTCTTGAGTTGTATGTGCATGTGTGAGCGTGAGGGAGGGAGTGTGTGACTGTGTTTGTGTATGATTGTATATGTCAGGTGGGGCCTTTGACTCCTCCCCTCTCCTGGATCCTCTCTTGACGATATAGATCTTTGTCCCCCCTCCCCCTTTCACACCTGGTGTGAGGGGTTGTGCCATGGTCTGCCTGAGTGTTTGTGGCAACCGGGTCTGGGGGTTTAAGTTTCAGGCATCTGCCTGATAGATCCCGGTGGCTGCCTGGTGGGGTCTGGGTCCCTGGGCTCTGCTGGGTCCCCGGCGGGGGTGGTCGCCCCTGGGTCCCGGGTCGCTGGGTCCCGGGCTCAGCCGGCTAGGGAGTGGGAGGCTGCGGGCGGGCCTGTGGGCTTGCCGCTGATATCTCCCGGGACTCTGCCGGCTGCTGGTTGTGGCCCCCCGGGACGATCCTCTGTGCCTCTCGGGGGGGGGGGCTTCCTGGTTGCAGTCTCCTTGGGGTTCCTGTGTTCTGGGGCAGCGCCTGGATCTCTGGGACTTGGAGCTCCCCCCGTCTCCTGCGCATCTTTGGGGGGCGGATCTGTGGTCCCTCACACTCTAAGTTGGACGCTCCTATAGAGAAACCTTACATAAACAAGCGCGTGTACACACACAGGTGCTCACATGGTGCTTTCAAAAGTATGGGCTTGGGAATGTTAAACACAGGTCTTAAGACTATGGTGGGCACAATGCACTGTGATTTATTATCGTGATTCTTCAGTTAAGCAATGTTGATTATATATTTTCTTCATCAAGTTGACGCAGTTGTTGTATTGTTGTTGTGTCCCTTTTTTTTTGTCTTTTTCTGCAGGTCTAGAAGCAGACTCTTGTTCATTGTTTATTTTTGTGGAACACCCCCCTCCCCCCTCCTCTCTCCCCACCTTTTCTTTTCCTTTCTCTTTCACCTCTGTCTCCGTGTCTGGTCGGAATTACAATGCTTTCAACAACAATAACAATAAAGTTTTAAGTATCAGGCATGACATTAAAAGCAAATGCTTTGATGCTCCACCTGAGAGTAAATCTGTAAGGCTTGTCACCAGCATTCAGACATCAATTCTGCTTGCTTCACAGCCAGACAGGACACAGTAAAAAAAATAAATAAATAAATAAAAATAAAAAATAAATAAGAGGCAAGTTACGGATTGGCCACTCCGACAACTTCTCTAGAACGCTTTGAACTCAAGTTAAGATGCTGTGGGGCATAGTTTTATAATTTGGATGTTTTGATTTATGGTCGAATCAGAATTTGACAACAAAAGGGGATTATACAAGCGCCAACAAAACCACGCCTCGCGTCAGAGCTGGAAGGTTCTGATTGGATCAGAAAAAGGAAATGTGTCATGTGACTTAGCATTACGTTAGATCAGTCTAGTGTAAATATTTAAAGTTATATTACTTATTAAAATACTATCGTAGGATTATAATATCAAGTAATTAATATTCTTATTTCACAGATTGATTGAACATTAGCTTCACATGATTATTTGGACTAACAAAGTTATTTGATTATCATTTAAAGAGAAGAGTTCTGTCTCCTTTATTCTTTCTTGTGCTGTCCGAGGAAGCAACAGATAAGAGCACAGAGCATGAGTGGCCTTGGCCCATATCTTGTAGATTAGGCTTGTGTCAGACACTTGTGTTTCTGCTTGGGCAGAGCAAATAGAGCAGGGCCTTTAGGTCAGAAATGGACAATTCATCTCGCTACATCACCGATTCTGTTCATAACCTTTATGGACAGAATTTCTAGGTGCAGCCAAGGTGTGGAGGGCATCCGTTTTGGTGGCCTGAGGATCAGGTCTCTGCATTTTGCAGATGATGTGGTCCTGTTGGCTTCATCAGAACGTGATCTTTAGCTCTCGCTGGAGCGGTTCGCAGCCGAGTGTGAAGCAGCTGGGATGACAATCAGTTCCTCTAAATCTGAGACCATGGTCTTGATTCGGAAAAGGGTAGAATGCCTTCTCCAGGTCAGGGATGAGGTCCTGCCCCAAGTGGAGGAGTTTAAGTATCTCGGGGTCTTGTGCATGAGTGAGGGAAAACTGGAGCATGAGATCGATAGGCGGATTGGTGCTGCATTTGCCGTGATGCAGGCGATGTTGTCGTGGTGAAGAGAGAGCTGAGTCAGAAGGTGAAGCTCTCGATTTACCGATCAATCTAAGTTCCCACCCTCACCTATGGTCATGAGCTTTGGGTAGTGACCGAAAGAACGGGATCGCGGATACAAGCGGCCGAAATTAGTTTTCTCTGCAAAGTGGCTGGGCTCTCCCTTAGAGATAGGGTGAGAAGCTCGGTCATTCGGGAGGGGCTCGGAGTAGACCCGCTGCTCCTCCACATTGAGAGGAGCCAGTTGAGGTGACTCGGGAATCCGGTCAGGATGCCTCCTGGACATCTCCCTGCATGGTGAGGTTTTTCGGGCACGTCCAACCGGGAGGAGACCTAAAGGTAGACCCAGGACACGCTGGAGGGTCTCTCACCTGGCCAGGGAACAGCTTGGGATTCCCCTGGAGGAGCTGGCCCAAGTGGCTGGGGAGAGGGAAGTCTGGGCCTCTCAACATAGGCTGCTGCCCCCACGACCCACGATAAGCGGATGAAAATGGCTGGAGGGATGGATAATGATATTGATACATACATATATATATATATATATATATATATATATATATATATATATATATATATATATATATATATATATATAAAGATTAAATATTAAATGCATATTCCCAATAGGTAGAAAAAAGGAGTGTTGACTTAATATGTGAATAAATTAAGACATTCTTTATTATTTACCCATTTTCAAAATAAACTGTGACACAATAAAGGATTAAAGTCACTTTTCTTTATTGCCCTCCTCTTCTGAGCTCCACATCCTAAACAGACAGTTTATTTCTGAATTATTCATCACAGATTTGCTCTAGAGAAACAATCTTTGATCTTTCACTGTTTCCCAGAGTTTTGGAGTCAAAGTCACTTTGCATAACATTTTTTTGTTTAACACCAGTAGCATTTTACTGCCGTCCATCTCTCAGTGGGGGTTATTTGTTTAGACTCAATATAAACTGTTGGCTGTTTGACTTCAGAACCAAGGGACTGCACGTTGGATCGGTTATGTGTTTGTTTCTAAGCTAACTCCAGGGTCAGCGTTTTAACATGCTGTAAGAGTCTAATGTGGACTTTTTTTGTGTAGATGATAAGAACCCATGCCATTTACCAGAGGCTCCCGGTCCGTGTCGAGGTCTGGTGAATCGCTACTTCTTCGACAGAGAGACACAGCAGTGTAAACGTTTCTTCTATGGTGGCTGTTTCGGCAACGCCAACAACTTCAGGAGATTGCCTGAGTGCCAAGCCAGGTGTCAGAACCCAGGTAGGGGCGGGATGCCAAGCTCTTCTTAATCATAACTGTCCTCTCACTTAACCCTCCCACTGCCTTCATGGGTGACCCCGCCAGGAAAGGGTTAGGGTTGGGGGGGGGCTATCTCCAGCAGTCAATGGGCAATCAGGCGGGGTACACCCTGAACAGAGAGCCAGTCTATCGCAGGGCAACACACACACACACACACACACACACACACACACACACACACACACACACACACACACACACACACACACACACACACACACACACACACACACCTAAGGACAATTTAGACTGACCAATTAACCTAACAGTCATGTTTTTGGACCGTGGGAGGAAGCCGGAGCACCCGGAGAGAACAGCAAAGCCGACTCAATGATGCTCAGCTGAGGTGTGCGGTAGACGTTTGAAAATAAAGAAGAACTCACTTTACTGAAACAGTTTCTGTCAACAGCACATTCTCTACAGAAATAAAACCCAAAACAATTAACCTTTTCTTCTGTTTTACACAATAATTTCAAGCTTTCCATTTAATTTATTGGAAAATATGCAGATTAGGACATGTGGAGGCTTCAGATGTTAACTGTTTTCCTTTTTCTTTTGGTTGTTTTATGTTTGATGACCAGTTACTCCAACCGCAGCAACAGGAGACCTCACGTCTCCCAGAATCGTGCAAGCCGTTAATGCAGGTAAACCTGCGCAGCACACATACATCTCCTACTCTGTTTGCTGAAGCATTTCTTTTTTTAAATCTATTGTTTCTGTTCCAGTTCAGGAAAATTATTACAGGTTAGAGTACTTTTTTTAAGTTTTATCTTAACCTTGCATTGGTTTTTGTTTTCTTGTTGCCTGTGTCACAGTTTTTTTCTTTCCTCTTGCTGTCCATCATCTGTCCCTCATTTGTGCATTCACCTGCCCCACGTGAAACACTGGTTCAGTTTTAGATCCTACAGAGAAAATACGGTAAAACAACCCAAAATTAGAGATGATTGAAGCTCTGAGCAGTAAGGGCAGTTCCAGAGGCTTTGTTCGTAGGCCCTGCCCCCTACTGATTCACCTGGACATTTGCACCTGTGTTTGCATCAGTGATTTATTTCCATCATTTTTAGTATTCAGAATGAGCACTAAAATAAGCAATAATTGATACTTGTTCAAGAAATCTAAATGTGATTAAAGGAACATCGTGTCAGATAGGGTATGGCAAGATGGAAACGGTGTTCCAGGACGTACTGAAACCACATGGAACGTTTGATTCGTAACGTTTTAATCAAGACGAGGATGCTGTGTGACTGTTCCACTACGTCACCATTTATTCTGAGATCTCGCTCTTGTTTTGCCCCACTTTACTATTGAAGCTGCTATGATAAAAATTTGTAAAAACAAATTAGACTAAAACCTTTTTTTTCCCATGCCGCTCAACAATATTCCAACAGAGCTATAAATATGTTGTGGAAATTAAAAAAAATATAAGATAAATAAAATTAATAAAGTGGTTCTTGTATTTGTCTAAAAACCTCAAACCGAAACCAACTATTGGACCATCTGGACACTTCCATGCGTCACTCATCACACACTCACGCATTTAGCTACAGAACACCACTGGTGTGAGACGCTCGCAGCTCAATAAGGACAAACAGTCGGCTGCTAGCACTTCAACTTTAGGACAAACTACCCGAGTCACAAAAAGAAAAACACAATTTAAGTCATGGACATCTACAAAAGACGTTTGGACCTAGAAAATGACAACTGGTGTTTTGCACTATCTTTAGTCCGGCAATGCGGGTTTCCGGTTCCGCCGGAAGCGTCTCGGGGAAGATACCCGAGGAGAGGGGTCAGAGTTCTGTGACCACGTTTGCGTTCATTATAACAGCTTTAACCCTCCCACTGTCTTCATGGGTGAACGGAATTGCAGCTTTTTAAGTTCTTTGTTGATGTTGGTGGACATTCAGCAATTTTGGTTTTATCTTATTTTATCAGCATCAAAACCTTCAGGATAGAAAAACTCTCAAGGGTTAAATCAGTAGATAAAGGAAACACAAGCAGCCACATCAGGAAGCAAACAGCAGGATCTGACAGCTAGAGGTGTATATCTGGAGGAGGAGGTGGCTGGTGTAATGCGTAGCAGGTGGGTTGATTAACAGCTGAAGCACAGGCGCGCACAGTTCTCAAAGTGGAGAACTGAAGGGAAAAATTGAGGACATTAGAAAATAAGAGTCTTAAAGTGTCTGCAGCCTGTGGCTCTGGGGCCACAAGTGACTCTGGTTCTTCTCCAGCAGCTCTTTCCAGCATTGACCAAAAATAACACAGAAAATAACTTTTTCTGTTTTTATAATCACAGTTTAAACCAATTCTATGCAAATATGTAATTGTAATCTCTTCTGAATTGTAGTAATTGGTGCAAACAGAATGACCACTTTACCGATTTCTAACTGATCCTTCTTCCTGATAAACATTCTGATCTGTTTCTGAAATTCACCACAAACCAATCTAAACATGTTCAGACAGAACGCCGAAGGGGCGTAAAGAGTTGGTGACAGATTATATCAGATTAATGCATTTTGTAGCTCTGGACAAACTCCATTTACTGGCAGAAATGGTTTTTATGCATGGCTGGACACAAGCGTCCTCTAACAAGGCAAATCAGAACATGTCAGCGTTGAGTCTGCAGGTGAAGTTCTGACACCGGTACCCAGAATGGATGAAAAATAATGACTGAAACTGAGCTCGAGCAGCAGCAGACACCAGCAACACAAAAATGCAGGCGTCTAAATTCACCACTGACACATTCAGTGTTTGTTTTACCTTAGAGACAACAAAATACAAACATCTGTGGAAATATTCAACTTATCTCCTTTACTAATTAGACAAAATACAACCATTACCACATTTCTGTTTCCATATAAAAGATTAAACACTGTTGATTACTTTTGTGGAGTTTAATTAATGTTTTATATTGAAATGATTATTAATGCATTGGCGAAATGGCTTATTGTTATTTTCCAAAGTAATTTACACAAATAGAAAATCTCATCCTGGTCTGTTTTAAGCTCCAGCCTGCAGCAGCTGCAGACACACCAACATTTAAGACTTTTAAAGGTGGTAAATTATGGGCTAATTTGCATAGTGAACGCTCAGAAGATCATTCTGTGTGATTAATTTCAAAATATTAAACCCCTCCTTGAATTATGAAACTGTCATGTCTTCCATACATTAAACAAGACTTGGTGAAAAGGTCACAAGTCCACAACTTTCCTCACTTTGTCTTCATTCTGGAAATATTATGTTTAATTATATTTTTAGACATTTTGAGTTTTTTATGCAAATCAAATGTATTTTACATATCAGGAGGGACCTGTACTGCAGCCAGCCACAAGGGGGCATTACAGTGGCTTTAACTTTGATGTTAGTGCACCTATCTGTTATTATCTGATGTTCCCATCAGCAGCTTTTTGGTGTTTAACCTTTGTTTTCATCAGGTACAAACTCTCCATAAATAACTTTTTATATCAGTTAGTTTTAGTTACAGAAAAAGCTGTGGAGGGACATTTGAATTTTTCATCACCAGTCTGGTCATTTTCCAACCAAAGCGAGCCATTTTCAGATTTCATTTTTACCCAGAGACATATGATCAATGTTCCCCTTTCTCTCTGCAAAGAAAACCTGAAAGATTTGTTGATCAATATGTTTCTTCTTCAGTGAACGTGCCGGCCAGTGAGCCTTTGGTGCATCACAACTCTTCAAATCAAAACGGTAAGAAAAACATGTCTGTTGTCCTTTTTAAAGATCTCGCTCACTGAGATAATGTGTTCTCCAACCCCCCATCACCTGCATATGTCACAGAAGGAAAACAATCTCATAGGGAAATTTGGTTTTCATAGCCTCGCCCACTTTGGCTTCCAACTGTAATCACACGGCTGGGCAAGAGCAGCGTGCGTCTCGGCTAGTAGAACCTAACTGTTCAGGCTTTTGTTGTTTGTGGTGATAACACACAATGTTGCATTTTTTTTACCCAAAACAAAAGAATGAGGCAGCAGAAGAGTCCATTGCTATTGGCCAATCAGAGGAGAGATGTTTGCATATCATGAATGTTAATAAGTCAGACTCATAAGCCGGATGTTTCTACCCGCCATTCCTTCACAACAAATTTCTACCCCCTGAAACGGGAACGCCAGAGCTTTCCACAGAAAACCTCCCATGAGACATTCAATCATACTAGAGGATAAAGAAGCGTTTCATGACTTGCCAGTTACGGATCAGCACCAGAGAATTCTAGAGGGCAATTAAAGATGAGTCTTACACAGCTGACAAGTAGATAAATACATTTTCATATAAGATGTTATTAGCACTCTTGGGTGTTTCACGGTAGTACACTTCCTGCACTTATTACGTTAGTGTGTCATTACAGAAAGTGTTGTTTTCCATCTTGCTGTTATAGTTCTGAGCAACTCATTAAAGGAACGAACGAATGTTCCATTTTTCACTTCATACACACTTCACTGTGATATTGAGATGCTGGTAAATGAAAAATTAGCTTGAGACATTTTTAGAGCGGACTATTTGCTTCTATTTCAGCGTTAGCATTGGTAGCTCAACGTTAGCCTCTAGCTGCTTAAAATAAGAACATGTCGTGGCTTCTTAGGAGTACAAGAAATAACTTCTGGGTAGCTTTTGTTTACTGGCTTCGGAAAGTTTTGCCTGCCGACGTCAAATTTCTGTTATGAAACCACAATTATGAACCAGTTGCGTCATGATGTGTTAGCTCAGTGCAGACTCGGCAACCTCACAAACTCAGAGTGTAAACATGACTGTGTCTCATTTTCATTATTATTTTTAATTAATTAATTAATTAATTAATTAATTAATTAATTAATTAATTAATTAATTAATTAATTAATTAATTAATTAATTCTTTATTTATTTATTCCTTATTTAACCAGGAAGGTCCCATTGAGATTAAAAACCTCATTTTCAAGGGAGTCCTGGCCAAGAGGCAGCAAAAGTTACAGTTATACATTTTTCAGTTACACAGTTGTACAAAGTTACAGAAGACAGTTGCAACACATTTTTTTTCGAAAGCAGAAAACCTGACAACCCCCTAGCCAGCTGAGATGAAATCTGTTTCATTGTAACCTTCCTTCCAACATGATTGAGACAGACTGTTTTGTGATTATTTCACAGCAGAATTCTTACAAACTGCACCTTTATGTGTTTCAAAGAAACACAAAAGAGGCTTTTAGTAGAACTCAGAACTAGAACTTACATTTTCGCTGCTAACTGCTGATGTCAAAAGCAAAACTCTGGAACAAAGCTAGAGCTGGTGCTTAGTCTGTCCTTGCAGAGTGGGGGAAAGAAACATTAAATGCTGAATCAATTATGCATAATTAAATGGCTCATCGTGCCCTCCCAGTAGCAATGAGCCCATGCCAAATTCTTAAATAAGTTCTGGAATAAACTCAGACCTCAAAGTGGGGAGGCCATTTATGAGAGCGGTGATGGGTGCCAGAAGTGTTTTAAAAACGTCGAGGTGCAGTGATGCATGGATGGTCGACAGCTTGTAGAATTGCTTTTGTTGTGAGGAGCAAAGGGCAGAAACGGAGTGCATCAGAGTCTCGCTCTTGCGTCCGATTTGTCACAAAGAACCACTCATTCATTTTCTGTGTGTTAGCTGGGAGGCAGCGTATATCCTAGCTGTCACGCGGCAAGGCTGCTTTCTGCTGCAGCAGGGGAGCACAGGGAGAACTGGGCCCACCTCCCTCAAACCAGTAAGAGGTATAACTCAAAAAATTCAATTTCACTCATGTCACAGAATATTGAGAGGGAAAGATGGAGGACCATCAGCCTCCAAGATTTCTGCTCTTTGTAAGGTTTCTTCTTCATTTCCCTAATTTCTTTGAAGACATTTTCATTGTTTGATAATGGGGGTGTGGAACATTTGGCATGTATGTAGGTTTCAAATTAAAGGGAGGTTATTGTTAGCATGTGGAAGCCAAACACTGACATCTTGTGGCGAAACAATAAAACACAAATTTTGGCTTTTGCTGTCATGTTAAATCTAGTTTTATTAATGTTTATTGTTTTACTTGATCAAGCATTTCAATAAATAAATAAAAAACTCAACCTTTCAATAAACACAGGAAACAAGACAAACCAATCACAGACTTCCTTACCGCCCAAAGGATGGAATATTTTATTGGATTTAAACTTTTATTTGAAAACAGACATTTCACACTAACAGAGATCAGCGCCTGTCAGCTAACAGGAAAAAGTTTGAATAAACGAAAATGATTGTTTTTCATCCTCATCTTTAAGGTTTGTCACCAGCGATCCTTTCTCCATTAAAGTCCATCTCTTGGTAGATGAAAAACGTTGACCATCAAGTTTCTTGCCCATCGCTTACACACCTCATCACTGCATCTGCAGATGTCACAACTCAGTTCGGCTTCCATGATGCTCCGCTGGTTCTGATCACAGCTGTGAACTAAAGTCAGCATCTCACTGGAAACAAGCAGATGCTGAGAACAAAGGTCAGGGATAAAGTTCTGCAGAAATATAGACTAGGGTCAAGTTATAAAACGTAAAAAAAAAAAACCTCATCCCACCGAGCTCAGGCAGAGCCATTTGATGAAATGGAAGGATACATTTCACCATCACAAACCTGTCAAGCACCAAATCAACAAAGAGGCCATTCATCAGACAGATAAGGAGGGTCGAAGCAAACTGAACAAAACAGATTAGAGCGGCTGTCCGTGGGTTCAGGTGCCCACGCTACTGAAGGAAATAAAATCAGAAATAAAAGGTTTCATAGTTGATAAAAAGCATATGAGATCTGGGAAGCATGGACAGATGAGGGAATGAAACCTTTCGATCACCATGGAAACTGCCACATGTGGCTCACATCTTGGGCACCCCCCACACAGGGAAGCGTAGTGGTGGCAGCATCACGCTGTGGTATTGTGCCCATCTGCATGGCTGAGAGTATTGATCAGAACCAGAGCAAAGGAAAAGGTTTCAGTCCGAGGCTAGGATTCAGTCAGGAAGAAGATGATCTCTGCAGCTCGGGGTGAATTTAACCGTCTGAGTAAATAATAAACAGCATATAACAAAATAAACAAACAAATAATAAACAGCATATAACAAAATAAACAAACAAATAATAAACAGCATATAACTAAATAAACAAACAAATAATAAACAGCATATAACAAAATAAACAAACAAATAATAAACAGCATATAACTAAATAAACAAACAAATAATAAACAGCATATAACAAAATAAACAAACAAATAATAAACAGCATATAACAAAATAAACAAACAAGAATCACACATTCAGATTGAAAATGACCTCCATATTTGTTTTCTATCCTGGTTTAGCTCTATGAACCTTCTCACACCCTGAAAGTATTTCTTTACATGATGATAAATCACTCAAAACCACGTTAATAGGAAAAGGCTGTGCGTTTCATTTCCTGGTGACGTGATCAAAGATGAAAGCTTGCAAGACCTCATGGGAAAATACAGAAACAAATCTTTCTTTTTCAGTGTGAGAGGCTACAGAAGAATAGCTTTGCCTGTCAGACTGAAAGTTGTGATGAAGCAAACAGTCATCAATCGACTCTTTCTCATGTGTGGCAGAAGTGTGGTGTATTTTAGGGTTTTGTCCATTAAATAAATGCTTTTATGATTGTGATTTGTAGACATGAGTCCTTCAGAGGTTTGCTTGAGTCCAATGGTTGACGGGCCGTGTGCCGGGTCAGAGAGAAGGTTTGGATTCAACCCAAAAACCAAGAGATGCCAGATGTTCATGTACAGCGGCTGCGGAGGAAACGGGAACAACTTCAGATCTCGCAAAAGCTGCTATCACAAGTGCATCAAAAGCCAAAAGGGTATCCATGGAGAGCTACTCAATCATTAACAAAAACAGAAAATGTGATTTTGTTGCTTTCAGCTTACAGCACTCAGTCACAAAGAATGTGTAGTGATTTTGAATCCTCTTCTTCAGAGCTGTTGATGGAAACTTGTCTTTATGTGAACTCCTGTTGCAGGTCACAAAGGGAAGATGATCCGAATAAGGAAGAAGAACATGGACAACGTTTTAAACCGCTCAGTCTGAACACAGCATGAATCCTGCTGTGCAGAAACTTGTATTATATTGAGCTTGTAAAATATGAATGCATTACATTTATTTGCAAAGCTCCTTTTAAACTCAGCTCTTTAAAAATCTGGCTCCTTAATGCCAGGCAGCAGCTTAACCTGAAGGGTTTCATGTAGAAGGCGGAACTAGAAACTTCTTGTTATTAGGTAGCTGGAGCTTCAGATCATGACTGCACTGGTGGCTTTCTGATCAAAGTTTATTACTTCAGTTTAAATTTTGCGTCCTCAATAACTCCAGCAGCTGCATCACTGCGTGGTATGACAACCGTACACTTCTAAATATTGTATAAAACCAGTAAGAAGATCACCAGAACTCGACCCACCCTCAGCAGACCGCCCACACTCAAGACAGATGTGGAGATGCACTGATTTTGGTTTTTAGAGTCAACACCAAATTCTTGTACAGCACAGACCAGTCAATTCCAGTTTGTGTGATTCCAAATTTAAGATCCATCCATCCATTTTTTTTCTGGGTTTGGGTTTTGGGGGCAGCAGCCTAAGTAGAGAGGTCCAGACTTCCCCCTCCCCAGCCACTTGGGCCAGCTCCTCCAGGGGAATCCCAAGCTGTTCCCTGGCCAGCCGAGAGACATAGTCCCTACAGCGTGTCCTGGGTCTTCTTTTAGGTCTCGGAAAACCTCACCAGGGAGCCATCCTAACCAGATGCCTGCTTGTATCCGCAACCTCGTTCTTTCAGTCACTACCTAAAGCTCGCGACCATAGATAAATAATAGTCTGGCCATGACCCACTGAGAGAGCTCAGCCATGGGGCAGAATCTACGGTTGTCTTTCAAGCTGTCTACGCATGCAATTGGTCAACGCTAGGACCAATCAGAGCAACGGACGAGTGGGCAGTCCACCATAGAAGAAGAAGAAGCAAAACATCCCTTTGTTGAAATAAATGACTGAAGTTCCTCTATCTGTTCATGTCTTGTGGAAAAGCCCAAGTCGATGAGAGCTGATGCCAAAGCCATTTCAAATGAGTACAGGTCCTGAGCAGACGCCATTTTTGTAGTTTTTCTCCATTGCAGCTCTGGCCCTCAGCAAACCGAGTGCTGTGATTTGTTTGGTCCAATGGTAGACCAGCTGAGGCTCAAATGTAGCATGACTAGACCAACCTGCAGAGCTAAATCTTTTGTTATTGCTACGGTTTGTGTAAACATCTAGTTTATAACACCAATCCTCTTTCCAATCAGCAAATTATTTTTTTTGCTGTTGTGGTTTTAGAAGTCTGATTCCTAAACAGCTGTAAGCAGTTAATGATAATTAAAATCTCATGGTGATTGTGTTTTCTTTTCGTATACATTTTCCTTGTTGATTTTTATATTGTTTATATTATAACGTTTACTTGTGGGGTTTTTTTTGCATTAATTGTGGGCCAAAGAATTTCGTTGTAAAGGAAAACATGTATTTTTTTGTGTGCATATGATAATATGTTTTGAAACTAAAAATTCTAAACAAAGAACTGTTTCTGGCAGTGATTTAAATGGTTTTGATTTATGTAGAGAACAAACTGCTTTTGGTCGGCTTTAGAGTAACTGAATTAAAATAATGGTACTTCTTTCTGGTACAGAATTGTTATTCACATTATTTTAATTTCTGTGAGACAAGAAATCTTGTTTTATGTTTGCTATGTGATTTGTTTTTACACAAATATAAGATATTAATTTCATACTGTTAATATTAGAAACAGTGCTGCCAAGCTTCTCTAAATCTGCTTTATATTTACTGTCTTTGCATATTACAGCTGATGTTTTTATTTTGGTAGTCATTGATCATCCTAGAAAACAAAATTAATTTGATGCTCAGGTAAAATATATTTATATATTTTTTTCAATTCTGACCTGTCCGGGATTTATTCAAGACCAACATAATGAAGAAGTGATGCTTGTTGTAAAAAGAGAACCACGAGGGGGCAGTGTTGCACAAAGTCGTTTAATCTCAATGCAATACCTGAGTGTAAAGCATCTGAGAATAAAATAGCTGTTTTGTTTTATTTGATGTGTAATTTTCAACACAGAGACAATGACTTTTCTCTGTATTTAGGTAATTCGCCCATCAAAACGTGTTCAACGGTTCTAAGACTAATTCTATCTCAGCAGAATTATAAAGTCACATATAATTTGAGTGATAAAGTCCGTAAATGTATCATTTTTTACTATATACTTAGAGAACTGTCAACTTGTGGCGTTTTAAATACTAGACTGAGTTTAAAAAAACGAGAAATAAAATCTACTTATAATTGTGCACATCCAGTGTGGAAACATGATTTGTTTTATTTTATTTGACTGAATAAACTGCAGTTTTATTACATAAACGTATCGGTGCGTGGAGCGTGGGGATAGTGCGCTGTGTCAGGGTCGCAGCAGCTTCCAGCTCCTCAGCCGTGGGCTCGTTTGTGATGTAACAGGAAGTAGTGGGTTGGTTTCCAGCGTCAGGCTGACAGCCGCTTCAGATGCGCTCATTGCGCGCCGGAGATCCGCTCTGATCGCCTCCCTGCGCAACAGCCGAAGCCTCGGAGGAGCTTCTGAGGAGAAATCCCCCCGAAGGCGTTCAGAGATCCAATCCCCTGCTGCTGCAGGTAGGAAGCGCAGACGAGTGCGTCTTTGCGCTGCGCTGTTTCCACGTTCCCCAGCAGCCTGGTGTCCATTAGATCTCAGTGCTGAGTTATTAAGGTCAGCTCAATCTGCACGGGTTTCATGAGCACCACACTGATGTGGTCTAGATCCGTTTTGAACGTTTAGACTAGAGCTGCATAACTGGATCCAGTCGGTCCGCATTGTTCTGGGTGTGTGGGAAGTGGACCCAGACGACTGTTTTTGGGTGGGATTCGGGCAGAACTGGACAGTTCACATTTAGGGGTAATGCTCATGAGGTGTGGGACTCACCGTGTGTGGTTTTGGAAGTGCGCGTTGTCGGTACCAGTGCGTTAACTGTGGGCTTTTACATCTCATTCAGATGGTGAAAAACACGCAGGATTCCTACCATTTAATGTTTTTACGCTCCGTTTCTTTTGGGTTGTATCAGACTGGAAACAATCCAGTCAGAAATCCACGCGCTGCTGACCCGGCTCAGGGATTTCTCCTGGTCTAACCAGACCTGTCCTACCATCCAACACATCTCCAGATCACCACGGAGGGCTGGGAGTGGGCTCCTCGCGTTGATCAACCCGGAGAGCAGCGATGCGTTCGGCTCTCAGCCTTTAGTTCCAGCCTGGTCCACTGGTTGCTAAATCATCTGCATGGTTACATAAGCAGCAGATTTGGACATGCTGGAAGTTTGTGGGCTGGACTGGACCCATGAAAGGATGATGATGGTGATGATGGTTCTGTGTAGGAGGATGCTATACCTGCTGTACATACAGGTGACATCATTAGATCTAAGTTTGTCTCTATTACATGGAATATACTGGTTTTTAGCTGCGTCACGTAGGCGGATCTGTGAATTTTATGATTTACTGCATGTTTATACAGCTTAATCCTAAAACCAACATTTACAGCCGAATGAAGTTAGGCTACACTGTAATCCTGAATTAGTTGAGTTTACTAGAAACCTCTTCCCTGAAACCACATTTGGAAACTAAACATTGCCATAAACACTATTTAGTAATTTCCAAAAATAGTTATCTTCATTGGTTGGATGAATTATCTAAAACATAAAGGCATGATTGAAAACGAATTCAATAATTGTAACAATAGAATTGAATATTAAAATTATCTTTATAAGCTATTAGGACCCTACATAATTTTTTTTATTTATTTATCTTACATGATTATATATTTTTTTCTGTACAATGTTTTTTTTCTTAACCTATACAATTTACATAGCTATATTCTTGGATATTGCTAAATAAAAACTAAAATATAATTGACAGATCCAGTGCTTTGTTAAAGATGTAGTTCACAGAAAAAGCACTTTGATTATTTTTGATTATAATTTGGTCGCTCAGAATTTTTCATGCAGACTGGACATGAAAGTCGTCTCCTACACCTATCCCTGCATTAGATTCTGATAGAAAATAAACACATTACCTCAAATTATTGTTTATAATAAAGGAAGTTGCATGTTCTTCCTTTTAAAAATTAAGGAACTCCAAATATGGAAATACAATTCATGCTATATTTCATATTAAATCATATGAAAAGTAATATTCCAGATTCATATAAATTGGACAATTGGACATCCCTGCCTATTTGACACCTTTGAGTGGTGTCAACATTTATTTTGAAAACTTAAATTGTGATTTAATGAAACAGGATTTTGTGTTGATTTTCAGTAAAGAAACCGGTAGATTTAGAAGTTTTAGCTTCTAAACCTAAACTTTACCAAACAGCAAATGATACAAAGTAATGTTTTCACCTTCAGGCATTTTGTTTTTCTAGCTTCTTTTATGATCCACCTCACAAGCATGGAAGCTTGTTTGTAACTGAACAACTCCATGACGCTTGCTGTGGGTTTATGGCATCTCATATTCATGTGAGAACAGCCTAGAAGTGAGAGTTTATTTGAACAAACGGTGTCATATTTCAACCAGGTGTAACCCTTTCAAGGAAGGATCCCCATTTCGTGACTTTGTTTTTTTTATTCTCGGGGGTTGAGGTCCAAACCGTCAGAGGAGAACTCCTGCTTACCCACGAGTGCAGTGTTAAATCTTTGCTTCAGATTAGAAAAACAATGGCTAAAACAATTCCATTCTCCAGATATTCAGAGTGGTTCATGCACTTTGCTTTTCCATGAATTTCAAATTTCATATTTATTGAGAAAGAACTGTTGTAAAATTCAGCCAGACAGTAGCTAACTACACAGTTAATCTCTGCGGCTAACAGCCACAGTGATTAACTTCTAAACCTTTGAGATTAGAGTTGTTGGCAGAAACACATTTTAACCAGTGAGGAAATTCATTAGTTTTGGTTTTAGAATGGCTGATTTTAATGAAGTCTGTGAACTCTGATTATCTTTGAGTTAAAGCAACACTTAATAAGTTTCCCACTTCTCCCTCCTATGGGTTGAAAATGGAATTACAACTGTGAACAACAGTGAAGCAGCCTGATACTACACTGCCCACACAAGTCCCGTAGCAACAAAGCCAGGTCACCATCAGTCTGAGATTTTGTAGCCTCCTTTAGCTCCCTCGAATGAGTGTAAGCTGCACGGATGTTCACTCAGATTTTAGCTTTATGTTTTGCCTCCAAAAACATTAGTCTCCTACTTTTCCTTTCAGGCTCCACCATGCCAACATAAAAGCTAAATTCTTCTTTTTTTTCGTAAGCATTTTGTTGGCGGTCAGCAGACAGAAAATGCTAACTGATAGTCTTTATATGAGCTATCGACACAGTAAATAGCTATTGCAGTAAAGCAGGTAGAGACCTCCCACTAGTGGTTCTACCCAAACCACAATGCTGCTAAGTGCAGTTTCTAGTCCGCAGAAGGCTACAGGGTGCTGTCCAGTGTGAAGTTCCTCAAGTGTAGGCTATGGCTAAAAACCACTAAAACCAGTTTGAAAGCAATAGCTGAAAGTGTTAAAAAAAACTCATTGGTGTTGCTGTAAGACTGAAGAAATACATTTGTGAGCTTTTGGATCCAGAATGGCTTATTTCAGTGAAGTCTATCCAGTCTGAGCATCTCTGACTTAAGTTTATCGTAATAAAAAGGCATCATCAGTGGAGCCCAGATAGCGTGATTCACAAGATTCGCTATCTCAATTTGAAAGGAAAAACTTAGTTTCTCCAAAGACAGAAACCGTTCCTCATTATGCAAACTTGTCTGTACTTGTGTACTCACGTCCTTGTGAAACGTCTTCAACGGTGGCCCAAGGACTGTTCCAGTCCTGAGTGTGCATCATGGCAAGTTCGCTCAAACTTCCTGGATGCGTTCTAGCTGCGCCCATTGTATCAAGGATGCATCAATGCATATTTTGCAGCCATGGGGCAGCAAGGTATCCCACAATGCAGTGCATCGCAACCGTTATACTCCGAACATCATCTAATAACTGTAGAATTTTATTTCAGAAATACTAATAAATAAATATTTAGTTGTCTTACTGTATTGTGTGTGAACCGTAAAAATTGCTGTGTGTATTGGGCTTTTAATTTTCACAATCCCTCAACACGCTAATTAGCTAACTCACTATCAAAATGAAAGCATAGTAGCTCTGTTTTGAAGAAAATATATTGTGTATTAATCTAATAGCTGAAAATGCTGTTAATGTATCAGTTTTGATCAAAAGTGAACAGATTCTAATACAATAATATGTTTTTGTTGTTAATTTGTTATTTTAGGAACAAAGTGGACTTTTATTTTTATGTCGGGTCATTTAATCCTAGCTAGAAACAAGCAACGCTTGTTGCCATGACACAATGGAGAACGGTTCTGTTCCAAATGCCGTCCTCGTCCTCCAGTACTCGGTACAAACGGACTTTCTGGTGTCCTTGCCAAGAACATACTTGTACACAAGAACTTACTAGCGTCTTTGAGTATTGAGAAATGGCCAGGGTTAACGTACTCAGACTTATTCAGCTTTCTGGAAGGCCTAGGTCTGACTCCTGATATTGTGGGATGTTGTTAATGAACTGGTCTAGTGTGAAACACATTTGAAGAATGTTTCTGTTGGTCAAATGGTTTTATTTCTGCAACTTAATCATTTTTCTTACATGAAGCAGCTGCACATGAATCATGTTTCTTTCCTATAAATAAGCTTTTTAAAAATATGTTGCCAAATCTGTGATTCTGCATCAGTTTGGATTCCTAGAACACTTTGTTTTGCCCTCTCTGATCGACCTGAGCCTACATTCAACACATTTGGTGTGTGTGAGCCCCACATTCACCCCTCAGACTATTATGTGGAGACTTTACTGCCCATGTCAGGAAAGCAGCTGTTAAATGTGAGTGAGACAAAGGTCTTGGCTCGCTGCTCCCAAAGCTCGTGAATTCTTCACTGTGCCATGGATTTTTGTTGCTAAAGCTCTGGACTTTTAGGAGGAATCCCATTCACACGGAGAGCTCAGCAGCTCCACCGTCCAACAGGAAAAAGATTAAAGTTTTGCTGCTTGCGTCGTCGAATCAAACCCATTAAATTACTGCTGGCGACTGGAAAGACCCCCCACTAATCAGCCACAAGAATAATGATACTTCTCACAAATATCAGCCCCTCATAAATCATCCAGACATATTGATTCCTATTGTTTTAGTATTTTTCCATCTTTGAAACTGTTAAATGTTCCTTTCTGTCTCCTGATGTTATCAAATGAGTAAAAACACAACAAAGTGACGCTCCTCCTGGGGTTCAGGGATGTGAAACCTTTGGAGGTGATTTTCCTTTCATGCATTATGAAGGATAATTTCTCCCCTGATTTAATTTTAGCTCAGATGGACGCTGTAGTGGGCTGCTGTCGTCAGCTCGGCCTGAGTGTGGTGACTTTCTCTGAGCTGGAGTACTTTATGACGTATGGGAAGTACCACAAAGAGACTTTTAACACACAAGTGAAAGTATGGCACAATTAGCTGATTTCATTTAGCTCTTCAGGGGACTAGATTTATGTTTCACTGATGTTTCACTGTTTATGTCTTCTTGAGCTGAAACAC